TGTTGTTTTTTATGTCTCCCAGGTTGAATATAATTCTGATTTTGTGTTGTTTTTTAATGTCTCGCAGGTTGAATATAATTCTGATTTTGTGTTGTTTTTTAATGTCTCGCAGGTTGAATATAATTCTGATTTTGTGTTGTTGGTTTTATATCTCGCAGGTTGAATATAATTCTGATTTTGTGTTGTTGTTTTTAATGTCTCGCAGGTTGAATATAATTCTGATTTTGTGTTGTTTTTTTATGTCTCGCAGGTTGAATATAATTCTGATTTTGTGTTGTTGTTTTTAATGTTTCGCAGGTTTAATATAATTCTGATTTTGTGTTGTTGTTTTTTATGTCTTGCAGGTTTAATATAATTCTGATTTCATGTTGTTTATGTCTCACGGGTTTAATATAACACAATTCGGTAAACTTGTTAAGGGAGTGAACTGAAACAACATCATTGTTGAGATCACAGTTATTTAAGTGTTTGTACTTCTGAACCTATACTCAAAATCAAGAAAATAATATATTCCAACTAAAAACTGCTCACAAGAGGATTCAAATCTTTTATCAACTTATCCCCCCCCACACACTCACAAGAATAACAAGTCTTCTAAGGTATTGAGGAGAATGTAGGTGTTGCATATATGTATGTATACGTACTAGATTAACTTTTTTTGCATGATTTTTTATATTGGATGACTAGCACTAATGTATGTATGTCTGTCTGTCTGCTAGGTTTGGTTCTCCGTATGTAGTCCAAATCTCCAGGGAAGCCACATTTAAAGAAATACAGAAACAGATGCTGGTAGCAATGGATGACATACTACAGAATGATGTTTCGTTAGAGGTAAGCATGGACATGTCCACCAGGGCAACAGGCCCCACTCTTCATTGGAGAGCTCTGCTCTCCCCCCATCTGAAATAGTCTTCTGAGATTCTCTACATTGCAATTCCCATTGACATGAAAGTGTTAATTTGTTCTCCCCCCCACCACCCCCCACCTAACGCTTTGCCCCCTTTATGAGCTCCTCCTTAAAAAAAAGGAAATTCTAGAAATGCCAATGGAGATAATAACACTGCTAGTTGAACCTTTATGGCAATCTTTTCATGGACTGGCACAGTATTGGCTTTGAGATATACTTTCACATTAACTGAATAATTCAAATTGGACTTCTTTTATCTGTTTAAACTAATATGATTTTATTATAAAATAAAATGATTCAAATTTTATATTAAAATATATTCATCCAACTTACATAGCTTTCTTAG